CGGCGGCGGCGGCGGCGGCGAGTACAGATGCTCCAGATCCCCGGCGGCGAGCGCCATGGCACATCCCGGCGCGTTGGGGGATCCGGCGGAGGCAGTGGACGACGGAACGGCCATCGCCGAGGCCGGGGCTGCCGTCGACGAAGCCGCCACTCCCTGCAGGATGCCGGCGCTCACCAAGTTGAGGATGCCATCGGCCGCGTAGCAGCCTGCGCCGGGATACTGAGGGTCGATGGAGAACTTGCCCATGTAGGTGAAGGATTGGCTGCGCGGAGGCGGCGCGAACCCGCTGCAGGCGTACTGCAACTCCAGCGCTCGCTTGTCACTCATGTCCGCGCCGATCAGGCCATCTGGAGGACGGAGGGAGAGAAAGGGGTCACCGCTGTGCATCCGGCGCGCTCCTCAGGACCCCCGCACCCGGCAGCCTTCTCTGCTAGGGCAACTTAGGATCGCTGTGCGCTTGAGGCCAGGCAGGGCGCGCGTCCGTGGGTCTCCTCTGAGAGCTCCGCGGCGAGATGGGAGGCGGGGGTGTGTGTGGGCCGAGCAGGAACAACCCCCGACGGCGCGAGGGTTTTAAGTTCTCCAGCCCGCCCTCCCTGCGCCGGGCTCCTCTTCCGTTTAGCCGACTAACGCCCCGAGTAGGCGCGTTTGCCCCCGGAGACGCCGGCCCTTTCACTGCGCCCGATCCTACAGGCTCGTCAAGTCCTGACCGTAAGGGGCAAACGGAGAGGCATCTGAAGTTCTGCGAGCCTCTTTTAGCTGGCTAGGCTGAGCCCCACGGTGAAAAGCCGGGTCGGTGGTCGAAGAGGTCTCGCGTTCAAGCCAACTGGGCGGCCTAGGACCGAAGGCGGCAACGCATTTACTCGCTTGAAGCGGTTTATTCGTTTCAGCTTCTTCGGCAGGAGCGCGAAGGAGTCCTGCTGGTCCCAGCCTTTGCGGCGACCACCGCTTTCAAAGGCTGCAGCGAAAGCGGCCGGTTAAGTCCGCAGCTACGCCCGTCGCAGCAGGGGGCCGCCCAGGCGTCCTGCCGCCGCGTCCCCCCTCTCTTCCTCCCCCCCTCGGGCCCCCC